CCCTCCTTATGAACAAAGGACACTGTGGGAGGAAAAGTCTCTCTTTGCGTCTATGACAAAAATATAAATAGCTATGTTATAAACTTCAAGTCAAAACTTGTGAAGCCAATCATTTGGACTTCCGAGAGTGCCGGTACCCACCAAGCTCCTCTTGCCGTGATTGTGATTAATAATTAATATTAACGTAACCCAAACGTTTCACGGTTCGGGAGTCCCCTCCAGGGCGACAATAGAATCTCTGCTCCCCCTGCCCCCACCAAAACGTCGCTGGCTCGCTCCAGGATTCCCCAAGCCGCGCTCACCTGCTCAGCTGGCTGCTGGCTGGGCCGAGCCCAGCTCCCAGCCCTCGCTGCCCCCAAGATGCAGCCAGCCACCCAGCACCGTCTCCTCCCCGTGGGGGTGGCCGCTCGAGTTGCCTTCACCACCTCCGGCTCCACAGATGGGGTGCGAGGAGCCCCCGCCCCACGCAGGCCCAGCGGGGAAGAGGAAGAGCCTGCCTGACCCCCCGAACCAGCTTGAGAGCGTCCCAAGCCTCTCCAGGGCACGGAGCTCCCTCCTTACAAGGGATCAAACCTCAGCATCCGGGACTGAAGGGTTCGTATCTGTGTCACTTGGCCTGGACCAGCGGGTGAATGTTTGCTGTCTGTCCATGTCACACAGACCAGAACAACAACAAAGGTGTGCTTAAGGAAACTTCTCTGTTAAAAGTCACCAGCATATTCCTAATCATGGTTGTCCTTTCCCATAAAAAAAGTTTCAGCCACCGGAAACAAAGAAACCAAATCGTCATTGAGCACAACCGCACGCCAGGCATTACTTAATCCTCACACTGGCCCAAAGGGGAAAGTACCACGTACACCCCACCTGGCAAAGGCAAAACCTGAAGAGCAGCAAGAGAATAAGACCTGCCCAAGGTCACTGAGCTAATGAGGGGCAGAGACCTGCCTGTCACCGCCACCTGCTCCTAGCCACCGCTCACACTTGGCTCGGCAAACAGGACCACGTAATAAATTGTTACTTCTTGATATTCCTCCTTAATTGCCAACAAAGGTGTAAGAATGCGCCAGTCAGAAAAGTTTCCGAGAAAGAAAGAAAACGTTCCTGCAAAGAGAGACCATCAAAACCGGCGTATGTGTTCTTTCTCGTCATAACTGTCACTAAGCTAGCAAACTTGTTGAAAGAGGAATTGCTGTTTACATCACATGACTTGAGTTTCCCATTAAAAAGTACAACATTGGATGACTGTGCATTTTGTTTGTGGGGCAGGGGGAACTTTACCCTCCGAAATTGCAAATGCTGTTACAAAGCATTGCATATTTATTAGCCCATCTGCTGCTATAGCATTAAAGGGGGAAAAATCTTACTATAAGCAATTTATTCACAGTTACGGTTTTACCACCTGATGTGCAAAATAACAACACTCGGTAAGCATTTATTACTGTGCTGAGTAATTTCAGTTTAATTCAGAACATTTTTTTAAAGACCACAAAAGTGAACATTTGCTTAGCGTCAGGTTTTGTTTCCATATTTTGGTTAAAAAGAATAATCACTAGCACTTGGGCTGATCGAGATGGGTTGCTCTCAGCCTGTTTGCCAGGGATCTCGACTGGTTGAGGCTTTAGAAACCTGGCTGTGTGGTCACAAACGCGCGGAAGCTGCGTGTTACCTGGATTGACAAGACTTGAAAGGGGAATGCAAATCAGACCACCCAGGTGTTTCCAGGGCAGGTGGCGCTGCCCGAGGCAGCTGCTGTATCGTGCCAACTCTGAATCCACTTGCAGCACGAGCTGAGACTGTTTATCTCTCTTGGCAAAATACCAGCAGTGCGTATCAGCTAGGGGATCTTTAGAAAACAACTGATCCCAAAATAACAATTAAGTGAGGACCTGGGCAGAAAATCACAGTCGGCTGTGACTTTCACACCTGGAGAAAGGTTAAAAAAAGCCTTTATGGGCGAGCAGCCTGTCAACTCCATTCTCCCTCCTGCCTTGAAAGGGAGCGGTGGGCTTCGCAGTTGAAGATGGTGTCTCTCAGGTCTCCTTCGGCGTCGAGAAGAATTAGAGTCCTTCAGGCAGAGCCTGCGAGTTCCGTCTGATGGCAGGGGTCCAGGGGATCGTGGCCGGCCTGGCTGCCACCCTGCCGCCCTCGGCAAGTTTGCGGGCCCTGCTCCTTTCGCGTGTGCTCTGGCTGCCCGCCGCTGCGGAGCCGCCGCGCCCGCTTGAGCGGAGTAAGACGGCAGCCGCGGCGGGCGCCGTGCGGGCTGCAGGCGGCTTAGCTTCACGGCAGCTGGCCTCCGCTGGCAAGGCTCAGCGGGCGGCGGACTGAACATCCGGTGTCCGGAATCATCCGGCAGCTCCCTCCCTCCTGTCTGGCGCTGGGCTGGGCTGGCTTGGGGCTGGGCTCTGGCTGGGACCACCGACTGGAGGCCTGCACGTGGCCCCTCCACGGGCCCGGACCTCTCCCAGCGTGGCGGCCGGCCGAGAGGGACATCCAGACAGCGGAGGCCGCCAGTGAGCCAGGCGGGGAGCTAGTCTCAGAAGACACAGCTTCCCTGCCAGTGCACCCTCCTGCTCACAGTTCAGGTTCAAGGCCGCGTGGCCAGGTCACACCGCAGAAGGCAGGAGAGCTGGGCGCCGCCGTTCCCACGGTCTCAGGGAAATGAAATCAGCCACAACGTCCCCCGAGCATGCTGCTCTCTGCTCTGGATTTCTGCCCGGATTCTCTGAAAGTCAAGGACGAAATGGAGGTCCAGGGGAGACATCTTTGGAAAAATTGCTACATTGGATCGGCGGTCACGGCCCTCCCTCCTGATTCGTCTGGACCACACGACCCTCTCTCTTCGGGACAGCGATCTTTAGGCTTCTCTTACTTGCCCGGGCCTGCCTGCCCCAGGCCTCCCCCCTGCCTTCCTCCCTCCCCTTTCTGCTTGTTAGCACCCTCATACCCCGCACTTCTCCGCCTACACCTCGCTTCTTTGTAGATAACTTTCTCGGCCTCCTTGATTGGGTCAAACTCCTGGAATAGACACTCAGAGCACTAAGTACCTTGTCACAGTGACAATATTTTAGAAAACACATTTAATGCCTACCTCCCATTTTGACTGTAAACACCACGAGGTCTAGATCTCTGCTTTCGGTGGTCATTGATGATGCCCCCCCCACGTGCACGTCACACAGGTGCGGGGTCCCTGGCCCAGAGCAGGGGTTCAGCAAACAATTGTTGGAACAGAACCAGACCACCCAGGCGCTTCCAGGGCAGACAGCTCTGCGGGGAGGCAGCTGCTGTATTTTGCTAACTCTGAATCCACTTGTAGCGCTTGAGCCCCTCGTGTGTGTCCAGCAGACGCTGAGTTAGATGTGGGAACCCAGTGGGGCTAGGGCAACCCCACTTCCGCCGACGTGGAATTCACGTACGGATGGGGAGACAGATGGTGAACACATAAACTCGCTGGATGCTTGTGTTGAAAGAAGGGCTCTTGGAGAGGAAAGTAAGGGGAGTCCGGGGAGGTTTTCTCAAGGAAATGAGATCTCCGCCCAGCACTCCCCGCCCCCCACTCCGAGCGCTCCCTCCCAGGCCTGTGGCCACGCAAGTCTCAATTCCTTCCTTCCTTACAGGAGCAAATAATTACTCTGTAATTTTACATGTCTGTGTGTTGCAGGATAAATCAGCATAAGCCAAGGAAAGAGAAGTATAAATATAATTCTCAGTGTGAATGGGCCGTTTAATATTACCTTGTGCACTAATTAACTTGCGAGTAACACGGAGAGCTCCTTGACACTGTTGAACTTAATGACCCTCTGCTTAAGGAGGAAAGACACATTCACACACAGTGAAATTATAGCCGAGCCTAATGCCTCGCCCGAGAAAGGCCTCCCTCCAAGTAGATTGTTTCCCAACGCCTCAAAGCACCAGCTTTGAAATAACAATCTTGTACAAATGGCAGCACCATCCTTGAAGCAATTTAATTGTTTGCAAGAGTGTTTCTTCTGCCTGTCCACCCAGCAGAGCTGAAAGTCGGAGCAGTTAACAAGGTTCTGGAGTTATTTGACCCTACATTCCAGAGAGTATTGGGTGGCCAAGGAAGTCTTCAAAATCACCATCTGTGTCATCAGGAGCTTGTGTCAGGGGCGTGACCTCCACACAGGATCTCAGTTACTCTCTGTGATGATCCTCCAAGGTATTTCTACAGCTCCTGACAGGTGATGAAACTGAGACTCGAAGAACTTAACTTTAGGTCGGGCGCGGTGGCTCACACCTGTCATCCTAGCACTCTGGGAGGCCGAGGCAGGAGGATCGCTCGAGGTCAGGAGTTGGAAACCAGCCTGAGCAAGAGCGAGACCCCCGTCGCTACTATAAATAGAAAGAAATTAATTGACCAACTAAAACCATATAGGAAAAATTAGCCGGGCGTGGTGGCGCATGCCTGTAGTCCCAGCTACTCAGGAGGCTGAGGCAAGAGGATCGCTTGAGCCCAGGAGTTGGAGGTTGCTGTGAGCTAGGCTGTCGCCACAGCACTCACTCTAGCCCGGGCAACAGAGTGAGACTCTGTCTCAAAGAAAAAAAAGAACTTAACTTTATTCACTGCTCCGTTCATTTCAGCAAATGGTCTGTGAATGCTTGCTTTCCGCCAGGCCCTGTCCTGAGCACGGGGATTTGACAGTGACCAAGACCGCCAAAGCCCCTGTCCTCATGGCGCCTAAATTCCAGTGGGGAAATCCCCGTAAACACACGGACAGGGGCTCAAGACGAAATGTGCTCGAAGAGCCTGAGACTGAGAGCAAGCTAGGGAGGAACGCACAGGAGGGCTTCCGCTGGAGCTGGCGTGGGCAGAGAAAGGCCCTCCAAGGAGGTGTCTAACCAGATTTGGATCCTGAGGAGGGGGCAGCAGACGGACCGTGTGGCATGTTCAGGGACCGGGGAGGGCCAAAGTGGTTTCGGGGACTCTAGCCGACTCTGCCTGGCTCCTGAGCCCATGGTCTTAACCCCTGTGCTTTCTTTAGACAGCCTCGGCCTGAGCTGGTTCTCTGGGGAGAGAGAAGCCAAGGAGTGGTTGCCCCTCTGCTGGGGAAATACAGGCCGTCAGACCAGGAGTGTGATGAAGACGTTTCAAGAGTTGGGCGGAGACAGGTTCCTCAACCAGCACTAACCAGGTGAGACTGTTTTAACAGCTAGAGCTATTTCACCCAGATTTTTCAGGGTGAAAAATCTGGGTGGAGCACAAGATCTTCTGTGCCGCAAAGTGAACTGTTGGCTGACACAAGTCATCACACATGTTGTTCATGCGTTCGCTCACAAGCCTTGGAAAGCGTCAGCCGCGCGCCAGGTAGGCGAGGAAGCTGGGGCACAAGGCACATCCTGCGCCTGCCCTCGTGGGGCTGCCAGTGCGTGCGGCCGCGCCGACCCAGGCCAGGCACGAAATCGGCCTTCAGTAGGTAGTGGGTGAACACACGAACGAATAAATGAATGGACAAGGCCCACTTGAATTCTTCCACAGCCAACCCAAGCGGCAGGGATGGAAATCTGAAGCTCATGGGATGGGCACTTACTAAGAAGCCGGTGGTCATGGCCAACATCACTGGTTGCCCCACCCCACCCCACCCCGTCGCCGCCTCCCCTTCACCCTGCTGACACGAGTCTGGGCTGGGCACAGTGCACTCGGTTAGGGTTAGGGTTAGGGTTAGGGTTAGGGTTAGGGTTAGGGCACTCCCTGCTCAGATTCCCGTGCAGCCAGAGATGACCAAGTCACCCATTCTGGCTAACAAGGTGCCCACCAGAGTATTCAGGGTGAGGAAAATTATTGACTTCCTGATAACAATGGAAAGACTCAGAGAAAAGGTGCATATCTTCTCTCCCTCTTCCCTCTTCCTCCCACCCGAAATGCAGGAGCAACGCCTGGAAGTGCCGCAGCCCTTTTGCAACTGTGAGGGCAAAAGACACACACCAACGATGTCAGAGGAAGAAGCTAGAAGTGTGGGCCCTTTGTTCTTCCTTGAGCGGCTGCCCCTGTCCTGGGCTGCAACTTCTAGAACACATTCCACGCAGGAAGAATCCGCAGCCCCGAGCATGCTTGGATGGACTTCCGTGCACTTGAAGGGGAAAGCTCGTGTCTTCACTGTGCCGAAGCCTGCCTGAGATCAGCGCGCCTTACGGTAGGGACGTGCACAGCAGGCCGGAGGAGTGTCAGCGGCGCGCGTGGCTCAGTGACAGCCTGCTCTCCGGCGGCCGGGCCAGCAGCCCTTCACTGTCCTGCCCTTAGGGCTCCGTCAGCTCCTCAGCCCTGTGTCACAGCGCAGTGTGCGGGGCTCGCGTTGCCTTTCCCTCCACAGGGTGTCACACTGGCCCATGACGCCGATGACGTCATGCTGATTGGACCTAGTGAGCCAGAAAAGGCAACTACCCTTGACTCGTGGGTAAGACATGCCAGAGGGTGGGGAATAAATCCGCCTAAATTTCAGGGGACTTCTATCTCAGTCGAACTTCCAGGGGGCCAGTGGTGCGGGGTCTGCACCGACACCCCTTCTAAGGAGAAGGGTCGGTCGCTGCGTCGGGCCCTCCTCCAGCCAGGAAGAGGCACAGCACCCAGTGGGCCATTAGGGTTTCACCGGAGGCAACGTACGCCTCATTTGGGAGTGTTGCTGCAGCCCATTTAGCAGGCAACCTGAGAAGCTGCTAGATTTGATCAGAGCCCAGACGAGGGGAGGCTCTCTGGCAGGTCCAGGCTGCCGTACTAGCCGCCCCGTCACTTGGTCACACGATCCAGCAGACCCGAGGGTGCTCGGAGTGTGCGTAGCAGGCAGGGAAGCCAGTTGGGAGCTGCGGAAGGGCCCACAGGCGAGTCGCGCTGCAGGCCTTTAGCCTCTCGGAGCAAGGCCCGGCCTCATCCACAGGTGGCCCCTCTCTGGTTTCAGCAGCCCTGAAGGCGCGCGTAAGCTGCGTGAGGAAGCTCCGCGTGGCCCTCCCGCTGCACCCTCCCCCGCCTCATCTGCCAGCGCCACAGAAGAGGAGACGCGGGTCTGGTTGCGGATGGTTCTGCACGACACCAGGCACCCGGGAGCGGACAGCTCCTCTCCGGGACATCGCACAGTGTGAGGGAGATCTTCCCGGCGCAGAACTTCAGGCGCCGCCCTGGTCGTGCCCTTTGCTTGGAAGGAGAAATGGCCAGACGTGATTACATACCAGTTCCACAGGCTGTGGTCAGTGGTTTGGCCGCATTGCCAGGGACTTCAAAAGAACATGATTGGAAAATTGGTGACAGATAAATTCGGGGGAAGAGGTATTTGGAAAGACCTCTCTGAACGGGCAAAGGACGTGAAAATATTTGCGTCCCGTGTGAATGCTCACCAAACGGTGACCTCAGCAGAGCAGGCTTTCAATAACCGGCGGGATGACCATTCTGCGGCAGCAGTCAGCCTCCCCGGCCACCACCAATGGGCTCATGAACAAAGTGGCCGTGGTGGCAGGGACGGAGGTGATACATGGGCTCAGCAACATGCATTTCCACTCGCAAAGGCCAGGCTGGCCGTCCCACTGCCAAGCGCCCAGTCCTGCTGTAGCAGAGACCAACGCTGAGCCCGAGGGTGGCACCATTCCCCAGGGAGGGTTCCTCCTCCACGGTCCTCCTGGGCCAGGCCTCCCTGCCCCTCGCAGGCCAGCATCTAGTGGACAGGGTGGGAAATGGCTTCCTCCTTGTGGGTCCCCCGGGACCCGGACGCTTGGAGAATCCAGGAGGCGTTCCCACCTGTGCTGCCGGCCTCAGGCAAGCCCTGGCAGCCTCTGGGCTGCGCGCTTCTTGGCGGCTGACGCTAAGTCTTCCCGTTGGGATGATTTGCACTCCGACGGTTACCCAGCTTGGCACCCAACCTTTGTACGACTTGCCCTTTTTATCACAGCCGCCAGTTGGCCCAGAGCCATTTGTCCGGGCTGCAGCCTCTTGGCTCCTGTGACATGCCTGCAACAGGCCCACCAGGGAGTCGACAGAAATCATGTGTCACATCCACGGGGTCAGCACAGGTGACCCCTGCTCTGGGGGGTAGAACATCTGCTCCGGGGAGATGGCTTGATAGCCACTTCATCCTTCACAGTGACGAAATCCAGCCAACTTTCTTTTCCGGTTGTGCGTGGCTACAGAACATGGCGGAGCCTGAGAATGAGAAGCCAGAAGGCCTCAGGCACCCTCGGGGGCCTAGTGTCGGCTGTGGCTGGGTGGCGTGAGAGCATGGAGTTAAGGTCATCTTCCACCCCTAGCCTGGAGATCGAGACGTGTGCTGCTCTCATGCTTCCTACGAGCATCAAATCTACCGGGTGTCCTTGCAGGAGGCCCGCGGGACTCTGCGTGGCTGTGAGCGTGGAAGTTACATGCCGCTGCAAAGCTAATTGCCCTAAAACTGGCAACTGAAAACAACGAACATTCCTGTGGTCAGGCTTGGCTGACGGCCTCTCCCGCAGGGCCTCTCCCAAGGCTGCCATCGAGGTGCTGGCTGGAACTCCGGTCCCATCCACTCCCTCCTCAGATTCCCGTGCAGCAGAGATGACCAAGTCACCCATTCTGGCTAACAAGGTGCCCACCAGAGTATTCAGGGTGAGAAATTATTGACTTCCTGATAACAATGAAAGACTCAGAGAAAAGTGCATATCTTCTCTCCCTCTTCCCTCTTCCTCCCACCCGAAATGCAGGGCAACGCCTGGAAGTGCCGCAGCCCTTTTGAACTGTGAGGCAAAAGACACACACAACGATGTCAGAGAAGAAGCTAGAGTGTGGCCCTTGTTCTTCTGAGCGGCTGCTTCAGCAAACAATTGTTGGAACAGAACCAGACCACCCAGGCGCTTCCAGGGCAGACAGCTCTGCGGGGAGGCAGCTGCTGTATTTTGCTAACTCTGAATCCACTTGTAGCGCTTGAGCCCCTCGTGTGTGTCCAGCAGACGCTGAGTTAGATGTGGGAACCCAGTGGGGCTAGGGCAACCCCACTTCCGCCGACGTGGAATTCACGTACGGATGGGGAGACAGATGGTGAACACATAAACTCGCTGGATGCTTGTGTTGAAAGAAGGGCTCTTGGAGAGGAAAGTAAGGGGAGTCCGGGGAGGTTTTCTCAAGGAAGTGAGATCTCCGCCCAGCACTCCCCGCCCCCCCACTCCGAGCGCTCCCTCCCAGGCCTGTGGCCACGCAAGTCTCAATTCCTTCCTTCCTTACAGGAGCAAATAATTACTCCTTTGTAATTTTACATGTCTGTGTGTTGCAGGATAAATCAGCATAAGCCAAGGAAAGAGAAGTATAAATATAATTCTCAGTGTGAATGGGCCGTTTAATATTACCTTGTGCACTAATTAACTTGCGAGTAACACGGAGAGCTCCTTCACACTGTTGAACTTAATGACCCTCTGCTTAAGGAGGAAAGACACATTCACACACAGTGAAATTATAGCCGAGCCTAATGCCTCGCCCGAGAAAGGCCTCCCTCCAAGTAGATTGTTTCCCAACGCCTCAAAGCACCAGCTTTGAAATAACAATCTTGTACAAATGGCAGCACCATCCTTGAAGCAATTTAATTGTTTGCAAGAGTGTTTCTTCTGCCTGTCCACCCAGCAGAGCTGAAAGTCGGAGCAGTTAACAAGGTTCTGGAGTTATTTGACCCTACATTCCAGAGAGTATTGGGTGGCCAAGGAAGTCTTCAAAATCACCATCTGTGTCATCAGGAGCTTGTGTCAGGGGCGTGACCTCCACACAGGATCTCAGTTACTCTCTGTGATGATCCTCCAAGGTATTTCTACAGCTCCTGACAGGTGATGAAACTGAGACTCGAAGAACTTAACTTTAGGTCGGGCGCGGTGGCTCACACCTGTCATCCTAGCACTCTGGGAGGCCGAGGCAGGAGGATCGCTCGAGGTCAGGAGTTGGAAACCAGCCTGAGCAAGAGCGAGACCCCCGTCGCTACTATAAATAGAAAGAAATTAATTGACCAACTAAAACCATATAGGAAAAATTAGCCGGGCGTGGTGGCGCATGCCCGTAGTCCCAGCTACTCAGGAGGCTGAGGCAAGAGGATCGCTTGAGCCCAGGAGTTGAAGGTTGCTGTGAGCTAGGCTGTCGCCACAGCACTCACTCTAGCCCGGGCAACAGAGTGAGACTCTGTCTCAAAGAAAAAAAAAGAACTTAACTTTATTCACTGCTCCGTTCATTTCAGCAAATGGTCTGTGAATGCTTGCTTTCCGCCAGGCCCTGTCCTGAGCACGGGGATTTGACAGTGACCAAGACCGCCAAAGCCCCTGTCCTCATGGCGCCTAAATTCCAGTGGGGAAATCCCCGTAAACACACGGACAGTGGCTCAAGACGAAATGTGCTCGAAGAGCCTGAGACTGAGAGCAAGCTAGGGAGGAACGCACAGGAGGGCTTCCGCTGGAGCTGGCGTGGGCAGAGAAAGGCCCTCCAAGGAGGTGTCTAACCAGATTTGGATCCTGAGGAGGGGGCAGCAGACGGACCGTGTGGCATGTTCAGGGACCGGGGAGGGCCAAAGTGGTTTCGGGGACTCTAGCCGACTCTGCCTGGCTCCTGAGCCCATGGTCTTAACCCCTGTGCTTTCTTTAGACAGCCTCGGCCTGAGCTGGTTCTCTGGGGAGAGAGAAGCCAAGGAGTGGTTGCCCCTCTGCTGGGGAAATACAGGCCGTCAGACCAGGAGTGTGATGAAGACGTTTCAAGAGTTGGGCGGAGACAGGTTCCTCAACCAGCACTAACCAGGTGAGACTGTTTTAACAGCTAGAGCTATTTCACCCAGATTTTTCAGGGTGAAAAATCTGGGTGGAGCACAAGATCTTCTGTGCCGCAAAGTGAACTGTTGGCTGACACAAGTCATCACACATGTTGTTCATGCGTTCGCTCACAAGCCTTGGAAAGCGTCAGCCGCGCGCCAGGTAGGCGAGGAAGCTGGGGCACAAGGCACATCCTGCGCCTGCCCTCGTGGGGCTGCCAGTGCGTGCGGCCGCGCCGACCCAGGCCAGGCACGAAATCGGCCTTCAGTAGGTAGTGGGTGAACACACGAACGAATAAATGAATGGACAAGGCCCACTTGAATTCTTCCACAGCCAACCCAAGCGGCAGGGATGGAA